GCATTGTGCTTCAATTCCAAGCTTCTACTTGGCTGCAGAGGGCCTTTTCTGGCGGTCGTTTTTCACAAAGTCAGCGAAGAAGCCGAAATCCTCAGCATTTCAACATCACCTCCAACCTTTCGCTTCCCGCCTGCCCTGACCTCCGACGAGTGTGGCTTCTGCACGCGGCTCTGCTTTCGCCGCTGGGTCCCGGCCGCCTAAGCAGCAGCAACAACAAGAGGCTCTTTAATTTATTGCAGCCGGTTACACTTTCGATCCTATTTCCTTCAGATCCCTTTCCTCTCACACCGAGAAGATAAACGCAGCCTCGGGTCTGAGAAGCCGTGAGGGGTCGGTGGGCAGGAGTGAAGCCGGATATCGCATTCCCTTGGCGAGGTCTGATACCAGCGGGTGTGGGGAGGGGGGGTGAAGTCCCCTGGTTCCTTTTAATGAAATTGCTGAGCACTTGTGACACCGACTCTAAGACTGCGGAAATGGGGCGGGGGCTGGGTGAAAGGCGCCGCGTCTCCATTCAGCCTCCGCGCCGGCAGGAGACTGGAGTAAGTGTCTGCCCCTTCCAGACAGGGGGCGGAAGAGGATTGGGAGCTGCACCAGCCGCCGCCAGGGCTCCCCGCGGACACCTGTCACCTCCTCCGCACGGCTCCCATCCCGTTCCTCCGCCCCCCCCCGACTTCCCACCGCCCCTCCCGGACCCCAAAAAAGAACCCCGCCTGCAGGCAAAGCGGCTGCTATTTGGCCGCTCCAGTGGAAAGGTCGTAGCCGGGACGGAGGGGGAGGAAGCAAAGCCGCGAGGCTTGCTTGGCCCCTGCAGTCTGGCCTCGCTGTTCTCCATGCTGCACGCGTCGGACCCATTTCCCACGCTGGCTTGGCTCAGCAGCGGAGTTGGTAGGGAAGGGAGTGGGGAGGGCGGGTCGGAGACTACCTCCGGCTTGCAGAGGAAGGCACTGTGGTGTGAAGGACACTCCGCAACAACCCCCCCCCGCCCCTGCTCATCCGGGAACACGTGTGCGGCGCTCTGGGGAGAAACCGTCCACTCCTTCGCCCACCGCTCGAGTGCGCGCCCGGTCAAGTGCGCGCCCGAACGGCGGACAAAGGTCCGGTGACGGAGGAGCTTTCTCAAGTTTACGGTCTGGAAATGGAAGAAGGGAGTGTAACAACCACATCTCTACCCCCAAGGCTCCGTGAAGTTTGCTAAATGTTGGGAAAAGCAGCGGCATCAGGGAGTTCATTGCACCGCACTGCCGCGCATCGGAATGCAGCGCGCCACGCTGCCAAGTGGAGGACGGCTTCCCTCTTTTGGCTTGGGAGCCAGGAAAAGGAGGAATCGAGGTCGGGCGTGGGGGTGGGGACGGCCAGGCTCTGGGATAAACCAAGCCAAATGCAGGGCCGAGGAGGAGTTCCTGCCACTTAGCCGGCTGCCAAGGCGCTGCAGCGCCCGCCCCCGCCCCCGGCTGGAGACTGCGGCGGTGCGCACTGAGCCTGCGCGCCGGGCTTTTCTCGCTGATGCTGCAGATCCAGAGCTAGGCGGCTCGGGTGGCGGCCACGGGAGGGTTACGGGGAAGGCCGGCTTCCGGGCCCCAGCCGCGGAGGAGGAGCCGCCACTCCCGGAGTGCGGCTGCTGCACACTCTGGGAAATACTTGCCAGCTGCCTGGCGCGCGAGGGCGGACACGGACACACACACACACACACACACACACACACACACACACACATCCACCCTCCGCGGTTCTGAGATCCCAGGTAGGGTGAAGTTGGGGATCTCTCCCACCTGCCCCCAAACCACACTCGCTGAGCTCGCCTAAGGAACCGCATGATTCATTTACTCCCAGACTTCTCCGGTGTTTGGTTGAAATCATTGTAGCTGCTCACCCAGATCGCATAAACAGGAGTACACACACTGGGCAAGTTTTGGCTTTCAATTGTTCCTTAAGGGAATCGGGTGGGGGCGGGGGAGTAGAGTCAGGCCTTTAACTGCTTACAGACTGCGGAGAAGGAGCTAGGGACCGACCAGACGCCGGCACCAAGTCCTTCGCTTCTCTTTTGCAGGGTTCAGAATTCTGCCCAGATAGGTCTTGTCCACCTCAACCATCTTAATACTGTAAAACCCCTTTCGCGTAACAGCCGCTAACATAAATGAAGAGCCAATGGCTCCAGCTCAGGAAACACAAACTGACTTGAGATCGAATGGGGCGGGGTGTGCGATGGGTGGTCGTGATGGAAAAACCGGGGAGCCTCGCGTGGGGGAAGAGTCGGACGACCTAGTGGTACAAAGTCAAAAGGAGCCAGGCACACTTCCGTACACAAAGTTGCCATGTAAGTTTATTTCCCCTGTATCCAGATAGGTGACGCTACACTTTACTGAAGGCTGCGGGTTTCAGCTCATAAAATAATACCGAGGCTTCCAACATGTGTTTATTCCCCAAGAGCGCGCGCGCGCGCGCACACACACACACACACACAGGATCTAACCCCCTAAAGCCAGCACGAGGACAGGAATGCCAAGTATTTAAAACACAGACAGGCATCCTCTCCACCCACCCCCAACTGCCTCCCCGTAGCAGCCCTCAAAAGTCTGTGCTCCCACAAAAGGACCCCCCTCTCCCGCCCTGTCTCTGGAGTTTGGGGTTCTCTTTCACTACTGCAGCCCTGCACGGCTTTCCAGAACGCCAGCGTGGTGTCTTCCTGGCCTCACGCGGATTTCCCCAAACCAGCGGTCGTGCCCTAAGCAAGATGCCAAGCTGCCAGCCGGAGACACACGCGGGGGGCTGGGAGGCGAGCATCGTTGTAGGCAGCGTGGGGGCTGGGGTAGCGGCGGCCAATAGAAGGGAACACACATCTTAGCACCCACTCGCACGCGGGGCATCCATCGGAGGGGGAAGAGATCGGGCAGCTGGAGGGAGGCACACGCAGTGCGTCCACCCCAGAGGATGACGGCTGCCCTCTTTGGGCTTCGAGAGGGTCCTAGGCTGAGACTGCGCGGGGACTGGTTGAGACTGAGTGCTTTGGTGGCGGCCCCCGATGGGAGGCTGGGCTTTCCGGAGCGCCTGGGCCGGCTGGCGCTCTCTACCGCCTCCTGTGCCTGGGCCCTCCTCCCTAGCTCTCAGCGAATGTGTAGTTTTGGCGGCTCAGCTCCTACCACCGCCGCAGCGCCAGGGAAAAGCCAGAGTCGGGAACGAGCGGGAGGATCCCAGCGGCAGCCACCACCACTTTGGGCAAACTTGCGTTTTTTGCAGGCAATCGCGGAGCTAGCCATAGCTTTCCACTTGCGGTTCCGTTTGCCTCCGAGCCGCGGCTGCCGGAGAGGCGGCGGGAGCTACCGCACCAGACTCCCTCAGACACACTAAGGGACCAGACAACTGCGGAATTCACCCGCCGTGCCAGGGCACTTCCGAGGCAACAACCGACTGGCACTTTGTCTCCCCTTGGCAAACTGATTTTCTTCTTCTTCTTTTTTTTTTTTTTGGCAGCTGCCTCAGACTCCACCTCCGCCGCCACCCCCGCCCCAAAGCCTTTTGCTTTTCTTCGGAAATCCGGACTAGAATTGGGCATCTTTGTTAATCGCCGTTGGGGGAGCCGGACCGTGCGCTTTCGCCCGGCCCCACGTCGCCGGCGCTCGGAGCCTCGTTTGCTCACCTTTGAACTGCAAAGGCATCAAGTTCAGCTAGACTTGCCTGCGTTGGAACTGCGAGGAAGGCGAGCGAGCGTGCAGGAGAGCGAGGGAGAGAGGGGGGAATAAGAGGAAGGAGCGGAGGGAGGAGAGAAAGGGAGGGAGGAGAGAGAGGGAGGGAGGGAGGAGGGAGGGGAGGGATCCGGAGAGAGCCGGGAGAGAGAGAGGCTGCAATCTCCTCCCTGAATCGCGCACAGCGCTGCAGATCCTACCGCTCCGACACGCGGGCCGACTGCAGGTGAGGGAAGGCGCGGACTCTGCGGCTGCGAACCCAAACTTGGGCAAACCGTGCGGTGCGCACGGCTCAGCCTTCCTCGGCCCCACGGGCGAAGGGCTGCTGCGGTTCCAGGCGGCGGCTTCGTGACTAATGACCTTGCGCAGAGTTGTTAAGGAAAAAGAGAGGGAGAGAGAAAGCCGAGTTCACGGGGCGCGTGAGAAGGACTGACTCTCCGGGCGTCTCAGAAGATGGCTCGGGCTGCTCTTTGGCGCGCCGGGGGGACCCGGACGCGGACCGCGCTGTGACGCGAGTTGTCTCCACTGCACCGTGCCCAGAGCGACCTGCCGCGGATTTTTTTTTTTTTTCATTCCGGAGCTGCGTGGACTGGCTCCCCCGCCGCCTGAGCGGAGTCGGAGTTGAGACCGGCTTGTTGTTGTCCTCCCACCCCCCTCCTTTCACTCCCCCTCCCTCCCCGAGCCTCGTGCAGGAAGCCACTCACGTTTGCCTGGGGCAGCCGGAGCCCGAGCCTTGGCTTGGTCTGGAGTGAGTGACTGGAACGTGCATTGGACTCAACTCCAGGAGCAGCAAAGACCTGCGGGGCTAGCAGGCGGGGGAGGCTGCAGGCTTGCTCGCTTCCCGCCGCCTCCCGGCTCCGCCGCCCTCTCCGGTCGGAGCGGTTGGTAGTCGGTTCCGACTGAGCTGGGACGGGAGACCCCGGCATCCTCCGGCCGCTGCGGGGATGACTGTGGGGAGGGTGGGGGAGCCCCGAGCCCGCGGCGCGCAGTGTCCCGTGAACTGTGAGTACTGCGACTGAACGGCGGCCAGCGAGCGGGCGATTAGCACCCATTGCATGAATTATGAAACAATAACTTTCGGAAGAAACAGGAGGGGGAAAAAAAAAGCCTCTGCCAGCGCTGAACCGCCCCTTCCCTCCCACCCTAACCCCCCCACACACACCCACCCACCCACCCACCCCGCCGGCCGGCTTCGCACGCTGTTCGCGCCCCCTCCCTGTCTGTCCTTCCTCTCCGGGAGAGGGGCTAGGACCCGGGGAGGGCAGGCGGCTGGCCTCGGAGGAGGGGGCGCCCGGGCGCCGTGCTCAGAAGGAGCAGTAACAGCAGCAGCACGAGAAGACGCTGAGGATGCGGACCGCGGGATGGACGCGCGCCGGGTGCCTGGGCTGCTGCTGCCTCTTCCTGCCGCTCTGGCTCAGCCTGGCGGCCGCCAAGCAACTCCTCCGGTACCGGCTGGCGGAGGAGGGCCCCGCGGACGTCCGCATCGGGAACGTGGCTGCCGACCTGGGCATCGTGACCGGCTCCGGGGAGGTGACTTTCAGCCTGGAGTCGGGCTCCGAGTACCTGAAGATCGACAACATCACGGGCGAGCTGAGCACGAGCGAGCGGCGCATAGACCGCGAGAAGCTGCCCCAGTGTCAGATGATCTTCGACGAGAACGAGTGCTTCCTGGACTTCGAGGTGTCGGTCATCGGGCCCTCGCAGAGCTGGGTGGACCTGTTTGAGGGTCGGGTCATCGTGCTGGACATCAACGACAACACGCCCACCTTCCCTTCGCCCGTGCTCACGCTCACGGTGGAGGAGAACCGGCCGGTGGGCACCCTGTACCTGCTCCCCACCGCCACCGACCGCGACTTCGGTCGCAACGGCATCGAGCGCTACGAGCTGCTCCAGGAGCCCGGGGGCGGCGGCGGCGAGGGCCGGCGCGCCGTGCCGGCAGACAGCGCCCCCTACCCCGGGGGCGGCGGGAACGGCGCGGGGGGCGGCGGCCCCGGGGGCTCCAAGCGGCGGCTGGACGCGCCCGAGGCCGGCGGCGGCGCGGGGGGCGCGGGCGGCCGCAGCAGCAGCAGCGTGTTCGAGCTGCAGGTGGCGGACACCCCGGACGGCGAGAAGCAGCCGCAGCTGATCGTGAAGGGGGCGCTGGACCGCGAGCAGCGCGACTCTTACGAGCTGACCCTGCGGGTGCGCGACGGCGGCGACCCGCCGAGGTCCTCCCAGGCCATCCTGAGGGTGCTCATCACCGACGTGAACGACAACAGCCCCCGCTTCGAGAAGAGCGTCTACGAGGCCGACCTGGCCGAGAACAGCGCCCCGGGGACCCCCATCCTGCAGCTGCGTGCCGCGGACCTGGACGTGGGGGTCAACGGGCAGATCGAGTACGTGTTTGGGGCGGCCACCGAGTCGGTGCGGCGGCTGCTGCGCCTCGACGAGTCGTCCGGCTGGCTCAGCGTCCTGCACCGCATCGACCGCGAGGAGGTGAACCAGCTGCGCTTCAGCGTCATGGCGCGCGACCGCGGCCAGCCCCCCAAGACCGACAAGGCCACGGTGGTCCTCAACATCAAAGACGAGAACGACAACGTGCCGTCTATTGAGATTCGCAAGATCGGGCGCATCCCGCTCAAGGACGGGGTGGCCAACGTGGCCGAGGACGTTCTGGTCGACACCCCCATTGCCCTGGTGCAGGTGTCCGACCGAGACCAAGGCGAGAACGGCGTGGTCACCTGCACGGTGGTGGGCGACGTGCCCTTCCAGCTCAAGCCGGCCAGTGACAGCGAGGGCGACCAGAACAAGAAGAAGTACTTTCTGCACACCTCGGCCCCTCTGGACTACGAGGCTACCCGCGAGTTCAACGTGGTCATCGTGGCCGTGGACTCCGGCAGCCCCAGCCTCTCCAGCAACAACTCGCTGATCGTCAAGGTGGGCGACACCAATGACAACCCGCCAGTTTTCGGTCAGTCCGTGGTGGAGGTCTACTTCCCTGAAAACAACATCCCCGGGGAGAGGGTAGCCACGGTGTTGGCGACAGACGCCGACAGTGGCAAGAACGCGGAGATCGCCTATTCTCTGGATTCCTCCGTGCTGGGCACCTTCGCCATCGATCCGGACTCGGGGGACATCCTGGTGAATACGGTGCTGGACCGCGAGCAGACGGACAGGTATGAGTTTAAAGTTAACGCCAAAGACAAAGGGCTCCCGGTGCTGCAGGGCAGCACCACGGTGATCGTGCAGGTGGCCGACAAGAATGACAATGACCCCAAGTTTATGCAGGACGTCTTCACCTTTTACGTGAAAGAAAACTTGCAGCCCAACAGCCCCGTGGGGATGGTGACGGTGATGGATGCTGACAAGGGGCGCAACGCCGAGATGAGTCTGTACATAGAGGAGAACAGTAACATTTTCTCTATTGAAAACGACACGGGGACCATCTACTCCACCACTTCTTTCGACCGGGAGCATCAGACCACATACACGTTCAGGGTCAAGGCCGTGGACGGGGGCGATCCTCCCAGGTCCGCCACCGCCACTGTGTCTCTTTTTGTGATGGATGAAAATGACAATGCGCCCACCATCACCCTGCCCAGAAACGTTTCCTACACCTTGCTGCCACCCTCCAGTGACGTGAGGACGGTGGTAGCCACAGTGCTGGCAGCAGACAGTGATGATGGCGTCAATGCAGACTTGAACTACAGCATTGTGGGAGGGAATCCCTTCAAGCTGTTTGAAATCGACTCTGCCAGTGGTGTGGTGTCTTTGGTGGGGAAACTCACTCAGAAGCATTATGGCTTGCACAGGTTGGTGGTGCAGGTGAATGACAGCGGGCAACCTTCCCAGTCCACCACCACGCTCGTGCATGTGTTTGTCAATGAGAGTGTCTCCAATGCTACTGTGATTGACTCCCAGATAGCCAGAAGTTTGCACACCCCTCTCACCCAGGATATAGCTGGGGACCCAAGCTATGAGATAAGCAAACAGAGACTCAGCATTGTCATTGGGGTGGTGGCTGGCATTATGACAGTGATTCTGATAATCTTGATCGTGGTGATGGCAAGGTACTGTCGGTCCAAAAGTAAAAACGGCTATGAGGCCGGCAAGAAGGATCACGAGGACTTTTTTACACCCCAACAGCATGACAAATCTAAAAAACCTAAAAAGGACAAGAAAAACAAAAAATCCAAGCAGCCTCTCTATAGCAGCATTGTCACTGTAGAAGCTTCCAAACCCAATGGACAGAGGTATGACAGTGTCAATGAGAAGCTGTCAGACAGCCCAAGCATGGGGCGATACCGATCTGTCAATGGGGGACCTGGCAGTCCTGACCTGGCCAGGCATTACAAATCCAGTTCCCCATTGCCTACTGTCCAGCTTCACCCCCAGTCACCAACTGCAGGGAAAAAACACCAGGCCGTACAAGATCTACCACCAGCCAACACCTTTGTGGGAGCGGGAGACAATATTTCCATTGGATCAGATCACTGCTCTGAGTACAGCTGTCAAACCAATAACAAGTACAGCAAACAGGTAAGACGCATCTCCAACGTGTTTTAAATACTCCAGACAGGGCTAATCTCTGTGAGACAGGGCATGGTCTGTGCTCCGTATGTCTTCTCTATTTAAAGCTCCTGTTCCTCATTTGTAAGACTTGGAATATGCCAGTCATTCATGCAGCATGAATTGACCAGAGGCCAGGCCCGAGAAGTGTGTCAGTGTATCAGTTTCCTAACCTAGTGAAGGAAACAGCTAAGAGCAGACAGCCTGTGGTATCTTGCACTTGACATTCCTAGTTTATCCTGCAGTTTCTATTTTCAAAAATAAATGTGTCTAGGTGATTTGGGAGGTTATTTTTACCTTGAAATTATTTTTTTTTCATGGTAACTATTGGATAATTGCATCCAGAGAGAAAAATTCTGAAGTTGCTGCTCTGTCTATGCAAATTGGACTCCATAAAAGTTTTAGCTAGGTATACATAATTCAAGATCCCAAGATGTGCAGATGCTGACTCGTGGAAATGTAATGCAAAGTCTGAAATAGTGAAATACTGGCTTCGTTGACAACACTGCCTTGTTTAAACACACTGACTGATACTCAGGTTCAATGTTACAACTTCTTTTCTAACAATTTTGATCTGTAACAGTACGTAGTTGTAACTATTGGACTTCTGTAATGATATGCAATCAGCGTTTTCCTTCTTCATGTCTGATACTGAAAGTTTATAAAGAAAAATGACTTGCTTATCCCTTGATAAATTTTGATCAAGCCTACAAGATTATTTTGACACTCCTTGTACTATACTGAGATTATAAATGCTATATAGAATATTTGACAGAGTTGTTGCCTGGTTGAATATAGAAATAATGAAACACACACACACACACACATATATATATATACACACACACAAAAGTAATTGAGAAAATATTAATTTTATCTTGCAAGTTTTGCTCTTGTGATGTATAATTCAGAAGTTTACTTTTTTAACCTATCAAAGTTTGACACACAGCAAGCTAAGCCTTTTACTAGTGCTGTATCTAATGCTGAGACTAACTTTGTTAATAAAATAACACTCATTTCTCACTTCTAGAGCTCATTTCCAGAAACTCATTAATGAGTGTTAAGTACTGTCGCATGATATTTTTGTTAAGTTTCTTTGGTACGGGCTACTTGTGATTTGAAAACTAAGGCAAATAAAACAGTTATTTTATAGCCTCATTACAAGTGCTGCAGAAAAGAGATGTTACTTCTCATTGCTGTCATAATGATGAAAATTATTTTCATAAAGATAACATTTCTGTATACTGTAGTTTATTGTAGCTATTTGGATAATGGGTGACAGGTTATATGTGCTTTTATATTCATTAGCAAAAGCAATCCAAAACAATATGGGTTTGGATTGGATCCCATAAAGCAGCTTTTGAAAATAAGCCTTTGGGTGCATGGGAAATTTATTTATTTATTTATTTATTTATTTATTTATTTATTTATTTATTTATTGTGTGTCAAAATTTAACATACTAGAGAGTGTATGCTCATCACATTGTTGATCTTCCTGGAGTTACAATCAGACTTTTGCTTTTGATGCTTTTATTAGTTGTTTAAACAAGGAAAATCTGTTCCAGTAATAGCTTTCTTACTAGAGTAGTTATAAACACCCACAAATATACTGAGGGCTATAGAAATTTCCCTAGAAAATGGTAACATGTAACACAAAAAAAACAGGAGAAAAGATTTTTTTTCTGCAGTGTGTACTTGTCAGCCCTGATCTTAAAAGAGCTTCTGTCCAGTGGCTGAGTGGCATTTTCATTCTAAGTCATGTCATGTTATGCTGTTGAGTGACCAAGACAAGCTGCAGATTTATAGATATTTTGCTCAAGCACTTCATATGCTTGTGCGACTACGTAAACTTCATTTGTCTGGGTTAGCTCCTTATTCTTGAATATTTAAAACAGTCAATAGAATACTGTTGGCATCCTGTTTAAAAGGCAAAATGATGTGCTTATGAAAAAACTAATGTATGGTATAGTCTTTCAACTGAGTAAAGTCCATAATGCCTAAAGACAAAATCCACAAAACAATTTGAAGAAATCATACAGTTGGCCAAAGATGATTTTGGAAAATGTGTGTGTCATTAGGCATTCAAAAGGGGTAGAGTTAGAACCACAAATAAGCAGTTGACTTAAAATGAAGTAAAGGGAACTGAAACACACTGCTCTTAATGTAGCTGGTAATAGTTATTGATAAGCATCATCTCAATATTGCGACCAAGGGACAACGGCTCCATTTAGAGAGTTCACACTGTTTAGACGAGTGTCACAACTGGGAACTTTTTGCTCTGATTTTTGTTTTACCACAAGTAGTTGATTTTTATTTTTTGTATTTATTTGTAAAAGATAATACCTTTTTTTTGCAAATTTTCAAAAATAATTTTTCTTTTGTTAAACACACATGTGCACTTGAGCGTATACACATACCCACTGTCTTGGCAAAGTTTCCTCTTTGTCATAAGACTTTATCACAGATTAAAACAAAACCAAACAAAGCAAAACCCTGAGGGTGATCTATTTTATGACTCCTCACAGTAAGGACCAAATTAAAATTTGAGATATATTTGATATAAGGCTTTCATTGTACTTAACACTTTTGCTGAAATGCCTTGTGTTCGTTCTGTATTTGTCATATAGTACAGGCAATGCTTCTTATAACATTCTTGTCCCACTGAGAGTAAGATTTCATGAAGTGTTGCTCCCATCTGGTGTGAGTGGCTTACATTGTAACAGCTCTGTAGAAGCTAAAGTTTGTAAGGAATATTCACCACCCTCCTCTTGCATTCCCAACTGACGCTCTAGGGACATTGAAATCAAGCTTCAAGGTTATTCTTTGACAGAATAAGAGCCAGGTGTTACGGAATTGCTGGAATTATTTCTGAAATTCACACACTAGAAAACTGATAAGGCCCTGTTTTCATAGCTCATACCTTTGCAGTGTAAACAAAAGCTCAGAGGCAACATGGAGATTTCAGAGCCACCTTGCTGTTTCTTCCTTCAGTTGTGTAGTGAACTTTTCTGTGCTGTGGTTCCAATTTTGAAATCTAGAAAAATAGCTGTGCTTTAGATATGCAAAATAAAGGAAGCAGAATTGTATTTATTTAATTACTTTTAAACCTGCACGATTTTATCTTTTTGTTATGTATTTTTCAATTCCCTTTTAAAAAATGGAATTCCAGAAAGTTAATACACAATGTAATAGTGCACTTACTACTTTGTCACTTTCGATCTTGCTGAGTCCATCCTTGACATGTTGTTATGTAGATAATGCACTTGCAAGTAAAACGTACATTGTATCTAATAAATGGAAAGTAAGGTAATTTACTTTTGGCAAGAATTTGGCTTGCATAAACATTTGTTTAAAAATCCATTTATAGCTGCTGATCCTAAAATACTCAAGGAAGAATTCATATTATCGCCAGTGACCATTTCCTTATGTAAGGAACTGGTGAATTACTCTGAATAGATATCCACCTCAATTGATCATAGTATAGTCAATAGATTCATTTTATACACATATGGCAGAATTTATTTTTTTTAAAACTCCTTTAATTTTGGAAGCAAATGGATGGTTTGCCAGGGTCAGAGTTGTAAGCAAGAAGAAAGCTGAAGGTCAGTTTATGTTTGTGTGTGTGTTCAACACCATATATATATATATTTTAGCGACAGTGCTTCTGCATGCTAGTCACAGCTTCCAGTTTCAACTCTCTTAGCATAGTTTCCCCAGTGTGGTTATCCTGTGTAGGGATCTTTCACAAAGCACAATGGGTCTACATAGGATATATCTGTTAGAGTTGGGCTGTCTCATAGGCAAGAGATTAGTAACGGATAGAAGCTATGCCTTATTTATAGTTGGGAGATTCATTCTCATGCAACATCTCTTGGGTATTCAGGTGTTTATGAAGTAAGGAAAAGTTCACCCCCTGATTTGATATATAATGTGTATGAAAATTTGTATGAAAATTCACATATGAAAATTAAACCGTATCTTAAACTTACCTTAAATGAATTTGTGACTGAGAGAATAAGGCACAAAGTCAATTCAAAAACTGTAAGTACATCAAATAACAGGGCGAACATAATAAAGTTGTTATTTCTTTATAGTTTTGAATAATGATAAAATTCATAAATGGAAAAGTATACACATCATATGAGTATATCACGTAGTTTCTCTTTGTGTGCAAAGACACACACGTAAATCCATGCATATCAATCGGGGGCCATTCATCTTTTGCAAAAAGAGCCATTGATAATATAAAAAAACACCTGAACTTCAAACATATACACACTAAGTCTACATAAACGACACATACTCTTATCAACAAGTGAATCAGATATCCCAAATCACAAAGGTCTACGTGTCTGAGAAGTTTGATGCCACACAGGTCTGTCATTTATGGAAGAGGAAGCTGAACTCCAGCGAAAAAGTAATTTTGTTTAAGGGAACAAAATTATTAAGCATGTGTGGTGAACCCGGATCCTAATCAAGGAATGTTGATTTTAGTGTTTTTTTTTTCTCCTGTCACACTATCTTCAGAGAGAAAACTGACTTTTGAAACTTGCTTTCTGCATGCTATAACTTGAACTGAAATATGTTGAAATTCACTAATGTACTCACAGCTCTATATTTACTTAGGAAGACAGATGACTTTATGATAAAATTTAGTTCTACTTTAGAATCCAGTTCCTATGAGTAGATCATCTATAAAGTGGTAACTCAAAATGTAAAAAAATGTGAAAACGTACTATATTACTTTTCCTCACATAAGTGGCCATTGATGATACACAGTAAAGTAACAGCATGATTAGCAATATGTATTCAATATGTCTGTTGATGGAATTTTAAATTTTAGCACAACAATGATAGCAAACCTAAACTATGTGCTATTTTGTGTGTCTTCAATAAGAACTGAGTGCTAGAAAAGAATAAAAATATTCTCTAAAATATGTGCAAAAATTGCCATGTATTCTAATTGAGAT